GGAGGTTTGTTGGGAGGTTTGTTGGGAGGTTTGTAGGAGGTTTGTTGACGGTTTGTTGGGAGGTTTGTTGGAGGTTTGTTGGAGGTTTGTTGGAGATTTGTTGGAGGTTTGTTGGGAGCTTTGTTGGGAGGTTTGTTGGAGGTTTGTTGAAGGTTTGCAAGAGGTTTGCAAGAGGTTTGTAAGAGGTTTGTAAGAGGTTTATTGGAGGTTTGGAGGAGGTTTTTTGAGGTTTGTTGGAGGTTTGTTGGGAGGTTTGTTGAAGGTTTGTTGGAGGTTTGTAAGAGGTTTGGAGGAGGTTTGTTGGAGGTTTGTTGGAGGTTTGGAGGAGGTTTTTTTGAGGTTTGTTGGAGGTTTGTTGGAGGTTTGTTGGAGATTTATTGGAGGTTTGCAAGAGGTTTATAAGAGGTTTGGAGGAGGTTTGTTGGAGGTTTATTGGAGGTTTGTTGGAGGTTTGTTGGGAGGTGTGTTGGAGGTTTGTTGGAGGTTTGCAAGAGGTTTGTAAGAGGTTTGTTGAAGATTTATTGGAGGTTTGTTGAAGGTTTGGAGGAGGTTTGTAGGAGGTTTGCTGGAGGTTTGTTGGAGGTTTGTTGGAGGTTTATTGGAGGTTTTTTGGAGGTTTGGTGAAGGTTTGCAAGAGGTTTGCACAGTGGCGGATCTACCGTGGGGGTACAGGGGGGGCACTGGCCCCCCCCGTGATCTGATTGGCCACCCCATGTGCCCCCCAAAAAATTCGTTTGAAATTGCTATTACCAATACAGAAAGTTCGAATTACGACACTCTTGAACGCAACATCGTTGTCCGACTGCCACTGAATGCACCAAAGACGTAAGGTGCTTTTTGATTGGGTGCTGGCACTTAGTTTGGATTGAGAGGACGTTTGCGAACGTCGGTTGATGTCCAAGAAAAGAGGAGAAGGAGCGGCATTTTCCCTTTGCGGTCAGCAGCTTTTGCTAGTTTTGAACGGTGTCAAACACCTGTGCAAAGTCAAACTACTGTCGAAATCTACCTGCCTACATTTGTGTGGAAAAAGGAGAAAGAAATTAGGCATGTATTCCTACAATAAATTCATGTCCAAAGCATGAAGACTTGGAAAATGTGCGATTTGCTATCTGCCACCTTATCGCCGCAGCTAATAGCCAACATGCTTGTGCTAACTTTGCCTGAACAGGCAGGTGGTTGGGTTTATCCACGTTTTTGTTCGTTGTTAATTTCGTAAACTTTTTACTTACTTTTCAACTAAATTTATTTTAAATATGTTTCACAGAGAATGAAACGAAGAGGAGATATTCAGAACTTTTTTATGAAAAAGAAGTCAGTAGCACTAGCAGGTCAGACTGACAGCTCAGAGTCCGGAGAGGGCCAGGGTCAGCCAGAATGCAGCCAGGGACATCATCATCATCATCACCATCACCACCATCACCATCACCATCANTGAAGCACGGTGGTGGCAGCATCATGACGTGAAGCACGGCGGTGGCAGCATCATGACGTGGGGATCTTCTCAGCAGGAGGCCCTGGGGGGCTTTTAAAGGGTGGGTGCTAAATGAAGTCTGAATGTACAGATGAGAAAATGAGTGTCCTGGTTACTCGATCTATTACCTCACTAAAGACTTTCCTAATGAGTTCGTCGTCTCAGTCCTTAGTTTCAAGGCTTTTTCAAGACAGCATATGTTCATTCAGTAAATCATGGGTCCATTTAGAGGAACACAGAGCATAAAGTAGGGATGTTTCAGGGCGGGTCCACCTTGTGATCGACAGGGTTCTACCATATCACCATGTGAAGAGTCCTCAAGTTCTCAGTCAGATCCACTGCTTGCTCATCAGGTTCAGTTTCAAAAGACCAAAAAGGCAGCAGCCAAATTCCAAACTTCAAACTAGTCACCCACAAACTGGTGGTGATGTCCATCTGTACAAACAGTCTGTGGTCAGAAGTGCCAAGATGAAGATGTGTGGAGCCAACCAAAACCTCTGAACTGCTCTGCAGGAAACCTGACGGCTCAGACATCTTCATCTACGGTCAGAGATTCACAGGAGAGCAGACGGAACAAAACAACAATCACCTGCAACATGTGATGATGTTTGACTTTTATTACTTTTACAGTGAACATGGAGGTTGTTTGATTCTTTACAGCGTGAAGTGCTTGTTCTAGTCTGACCCGGTCTGATCAGCCTAAATCCTAAAAGACATCAAGACAGCAAGTTGTCTGAGTGTTTCATCTGCTTTCATCTGGGGAGAGCTGTGTTCTGATCGCTGCTGCTGTTACGGACCTCTCCAACCAGCTCGACCAGCCAAACTACTCCAACCAGTACATCAGTCGCACCACTCACGCCAGTCACATTCTCTTTAACCCATTCATATGTTTCATGCCAACATTGCCGATGTGTTTTACTGACTCTGAATCCATCATTCCCACAACAAACACACAACACTGAATAAAAACATGACTGAAGAATGAAAAGTTCACGTTGTGGTCCGATTCTATAGTTCAGTAAACGATCAGAACCACAAACGGCACGAACTGAACTCAGAAGGTTTTTCAACACAAAACGTAACGCCTCAGTTATATTCAGACATGTGATGTTTGCTGTTGGTGTAAAACAGCAGAATATGAAGAGACGTGTTGCAGACTGTATGTAGCAGCAGCGTAGTCGGACTGAGTCAGCTGGGCGACGTGAAGAACCTCCGACCCGAGTCCAGTCGGCCGCTGAGGACACAAACAAACCAACAGAGACACGTAAGAACGATAAAGAAGAATATTGAAAACGGTTGATAATCCAGCATATGAACCAGTGAAGGAGTGAGCAGAGCGCTCAGGGAGCTTCATCTCAATCTGCACCAAGGGCAGGAGGTTTGTAGGAGGTTTGTTGGAGGTTTGTTNACCCATGAACAGGGCTGTAGTTAGCTGTAGCTACCTATAGTTAGCTGTAGTTAGCTGTAGTTAGCTGTAGTTAGCTGTAGTTAGCTATAGCTAGCTGTAGTTAGCTGTAGTTAGCTGTACTAATCTATAGTTAGCTATAGTTAGCTTTAGTTAGCTATAGTTAGCAGTAGTTAGCTGTAGTTAGCTATAGCTCCCAGGGGGCGCCCCTACAGCTCACCTAGCTGAGCTGAGCGGCAACCCATGAAAAGGGCTGTAGGTAGCTGTAGTTAGCTATAGCTAGCTGTAGTTAGCTGTAGTTAGCTGTACTTATATATAGTTAGCTATAGTTAGCTATTGTCAGCTATAGTTAGCTATAGTTAGCAGTAGTTAGCTGTAGTTAGCTATAGTTCCCTGACGGAGCAGTCATTGGTTCGACTCCCACTCACAAGCCTTTGCTGCAGGTCTATCTGCCCAAAGAACATGTTTTAAAAAAAAGACATGCTGGAGATGGAGAAACTTTCTAAGAAACTCTCCCCCTGGAGCGGTGATTGATACTGGAGACCAAAAGTCACCACAGAGACACTTAAACTACCACGTGACGCAGATAAGATCCTAATTCCTGTGATTCATCAGAACGTGCTCTGTCACACATTTCTGTGGACGGACATCATAGTTCACGCTTTCTGTCCTTCTGTAACCTGCTGCCTTTGTTTGAACGTCCGTGTGCTTTACTTTGCGTCTGTACTTTGACAGTCAAATTCAGTTCAGCTGATTGTGATTCAGGGAGACAACTCTGTTGAATCTGTCACTGCTCTAAATGCATGTCAGCTTAGTTCCGACTCAGTTTCCATGAGAAGACCTCAGAGAGCAGCTGAAAGCTCTTACTTGTGAAAATGCAGCATGAGGAAAGCCAGTGTGTCTCTGTTGGCTTTAGGCAGCTCTGAAATGGCCTGAAGCATGACGGCCGAGCAGCTGTCTGCATCAGTCAGCTCTGAAAAACAGTGAGAGTGAAGGTTCATTGAGAATCTGAAAGGATTCCAGCTGTGTGAACATGTGTCTGTGTTCAGAGTTCACACCTGCAGCCTCCATGAAGGTCCTGTGCAGCCTGAAGGTGAGCAGAGGCTCCTTCAGCTTCCTCAGGACGTCCTTCAGAAGTCCACACACCACGTGGATGTCCTGAACTTTACTGAGCATCACCGATGACTTCCCCTGAACAAAGCGATCTCTGAGCTCCTTCACCAGGCGCTCTCCTCCAGGAACCCGGAACAGACCTCGCTGCACTCAGGTGAGACAGACGGCAAAGAAAGAACAACATGTAGTGGAAGTTAGTTTGTTCTCCTGGTCGACCTGATAGAACTCAGTGGACCAACACCAGCAGATGTCATGACACCAGAAGCCATCTCAGACTGAGGAGCCTTCAGTCTGGACTTCAAACTCCTCGGATTCTGAGCGTCTCCACTCTTCATCCAGACTCTCCAGATGAAAGGCGGCATTTAGGACTTTGGACTGCTGAGAACAGTCCTGGTTCTGTTTCTCCTCGGCCCAGCTAAGATGTTCTGACAGTCTCTGGTTCTGGAGTGTCTTGATATCAGGAATGTGACGGTTGTAGCTCCTTTCCTGAAGATGTCTGGTGGTTCTGAATGTTCTGACTCCAGCCTCAGTCCTGCAAAGTTCTCCTAAGTTCTGAAACCATCTTTTCTCTACAGTCCTCTGAAGGCTGCATCACGTTCACACCACAGAAACTGATCCAAACCATTTCCTCTGAGAACTAGGATCGAATCACCGTCTGTTGGTCCTCCACCCTCCGTCCAGGTTCTGCTCTGCTACATGGACTCCAAACCCACTTTTAAAATGAAGCAGCTTGAATTTTTTCAGTGTTTCGGTCAATGAGCGAACAGAAAAGTCCCGGCAGGAGAACGGTGAGTGGGTAACCAGTGCTTATCTTCATCATCAACACATCTGACACTGAGATGATCTAACAATCACTGAAAAATGGTCTTCTTCTCAGAAACATTCATTTCTCCAAGTGCCTGATCATTCAAAAATACTGAGTTGATGATCAGAGAATTGAAAACTGCGACTGTGTGTTGACCAAACTGGCTGGTTGGTTTTGGAGGAATAAAGACTTTCTGGGTGGCCGGTCATTCATTCACATGTGGTCTCCAGCCAGAGAGACAAAGACTTGGCGTTCGCACTTTTCCACGCTCACATTCAGAAGCATCACGAGTGAAACGAACGTGGAAATGTGCGGTCCTCCACGCCAACTTCTTGACTGACGTACGCACGTTTCTACTGCTTGGCGACACCTAGAGGTGATGCTGGGAAANCATCACCATGTGTTGTTGAGGCCAGCATCCAGGGCCAGGGCAGCTACCATGACCCTCCAGGTGAAAATGCAGATATGAAAAGAGTGTTGCACGTGTATTTTTACCAAACAACATAATTTATTTGTTATTCTTGTTTCTATGACTAAACTGATGGCATTGATTTCTGTGTTGTTTTTAATTATGTCGTTTACAATATGGCAAGACATTGAACAAACTGCAATTCTTTTAATATGTATAATGTTGGTTAAAGAGCTATTAACTCCTAACTGTTTGAATCTATACCTTGAGATGCACCAGTGGTAGACTACTGCCTGGAGTCGGATCCTGACTCGTCAGAAGAATCAGAAGGTAGCAGCACCAGCAGACATGTGCCTCCGTTTGCTGCACCGAAAGGTCCCCAAGGTGATTAGTCTACATGAAATGTCATTAATTCACCATTTATTCACATTTGAAGAGTGAACACATCCGTATGTTATTGCATAATTATCATTGCTCAACCATTACCATGTCCTATCCTATCTTTGATCTTGCCTGTGAAGATTTATTCTACAGACTAATTGTATTATTATTATTTATTTATTTTATTTATTTTTTTACAGATATTTCTCAGACAAGAGTTGCGGGTCAAACACAACCAGTCTTGAGGACTTTCCCTCGCCGACTGCAAGGAAAGGGAAGATCAAGAGCCTTCACTGCCATCTGGTACAAAGACTACACATGGATTGAATACTCACAATGTCAGGACACTACACACTGGTTTGCATGCAGCCATTTCTCGCTCCCCTCTGCTCCTGACACAACATTTTCCTCAGGTTTAGGGATTTCTAACTGGAAAAAAGCCATGTACAAGGATGGAGGCTTCCAGATGCATGCCAAATCAGAACACCATCTAAATGCTATGGTGGCATGGACAGAGTATAAAAGGTGTAATGAAAATTAGACAAGCATTACAACAAAAAGGTGGAAGAAAACAGACAGTTGCTAATGTTCTACTCTGTACAGCGACACAAAACATTGCACAGCGTGGCCACAGAGAGTCAGAAGGCTCGAGCAACAAAGGGAACTTTCTGGCCATTTTAGAACTAATTGCAAAACATGACCCTTTAGTAAAACAAAAAATGGGGCATGGCAATGCTAAATATACAAGCCACATCTTTCAAAATGAGATAATAGAGGTGCTAGCTGATATGGTCAGTGCAGCATTCAGCATCCTTGTTGATGAAACAAAAGACCTAAAAAAACAGGAGCAAATTTCATTAGTGCTCAGGTATGACTACAAAGGAATAGGACATGAACGTTTCATGCATTTTGAACATGCTGATAAGCTGGATGCTGCTGGGCTTACAGAAAAAATAGTGACTAGCCTCCACAAATATGGATTGGAATTCAGAGAACACCTAGTTGGGCAAGGCTATGATGGGGCATCAGTGATGAGCGGCAGACACAACGGTGTATCTGCAAGGATGAAGCTCAGGCTCAGCAGGCTTTTTATGTGCACTGTAACGCACACTGTCTAAATGTGGTTATTGTGGACACTGTGAAAGCTGTTTACATTTCTGTCTGGATCATATGTACATCAGAAGTGGCAGGACACACAGCGTACAGTGTTTCATGGTCAGCCTCGGGAGTTGCCCAGACTAAGTGATGTCAGGTGGGCTTGCAGGTTTTATGCTTGTCCAAATCTCATGGACAGGCTTCCAGCTGTCCTCCGTGTCCTCGATGAAATTAATGGTGAAAACAATGGAGATGGACGTGTAGAAGCACATGGACTAAGTGGGCAGATTGACCTAAGCTTCGTAGGCCTTCTGGTAGTTTTTGGTAGGATACTGAGAGATGCAAAGTTTCTTTCTGATATGCTGCCATCAGCATCACTGGACTCAGCCAGAGCTGTTGACCTCATTGAGGAACTACAAAACAATACAGAAATGAAACATTTTTCGGAGAGCTGTGGACAGAAGCACTAAAGATTGCTCAGCAATGCAACATTAACACAGAGAGCATTTCCAAACGGCGGCCAAAGCTCAGCTCCGCTCTTCATGAATCTGTTGTTACATCAACAACTGGTCAGACGAACCGTGATAAAGACAAAGAGTCTTTCTGTCTTTTGTCCCATCCTGGACACTGTAGGGGCCGAGCTAGAGAGGCGTTTTTCCCAAAACAAACTGTGACATGATGAAGGGGATTGAAGCTCTAAATCCCAAAAGCAACAGCTTTGTGAAGGAGCCTCCTCTGTTTTGTTTATAACACAGACCTGGATGATCTTAAGCATGAACTACATCCAACCAAACGGATCTTGGACAGAAAAAAGGCAACTGGAATGAAAGATCTAAACAGTTTGCTAGAGTTCACAGTTTTCTTGGAACCTTTCAGTGAAGTCTTTTATGAACTGTTCATATTCCTCTTACCTGGAAGCACAGCTGTATGGCCAACGCAGCTTTTCAGCATTGAAACTGATCAAAAATCATTTGCGCAGCACAATGAGCAATGACAGACTCAGTGACTTTGGGGTGTTAAGCGTGGAGTCCAGCAGAGCTGAGGCCTTGGACATGGATGAGTTCATACAGCTGTTTGCAAGCCGACATGGAAATCGCAAAACACAGATGTTTTGCAGTGTTTTGCCTCCATGACATTGTACTGATGCTTAATTCTGTTTCACATTGATGCCTGTGCACACTAAAATGCTTAAAGTGCATTCTTCCTGTTTCGGTGAGATAGAGCTGGCTGTCATAATCAAAATACTGCACCACAAAATTTGCACTTTACAAAGAAAATCTTTATAAATGTTGAAATCTGTGGTGGAAACTAAAGGCATTTTTCCTTAACGTCACCTAGCAACAACAAAACACACCTTAACAATGATTTAGAGGGAGGTTTACACAAAAACAATAATTCTCATCAAAATACCTTTGAGGACTGATTTTTGTGAAGTGTTGTTGCAGACAGCTCACAGTTTACTTTGGTCACCGTCCCGTTAATAACAGTGGATTTACAGGTACATTGAAGGTAACAAACAAAAACCCTCCCATGTACAGGAAGTGATTGTTCAACTCACAAAAAATGCATTTTATTGCCAAATTCAGGTAAAAGTTTAAATTAAATATTGAATGTTATTGTATTTGTCATCTTTTTGTGAAGATGTTGTGTGATGTCATGAGCACTTGGAGGCCCAGAGCTAGAATTCCATAGTAGTTATAATTCCAGCAGAACTATTGGTCCTCTGGAAGAACATCAGGAGGTTTTGTCTGATTTCTGTGTTTACTTGGCAATGCATTGATAAGGGATTGAATATGGGTTGTTAATGTTTAATCTTCTATTACTGAACAGAACGTTGGCTGTTTTAGAACAGATCGAGGATTATGAATGTTGTCATCGTAAACTCTGATGTGATTTTTTATTTATTTTTTTGAATGACCAAATAAAGTGTAAAAATACATAAAGTATGCAAACAAACAGAAATCTAAATATTGC